GCAAGTGGAACAACGGTTAAAATTGAACATAAAACTAATTGTTCCAATTTTGATATAAAATGAAAAGTCTTACAAAATTACACTCATTCTTGATCATTATCTATTTGTTTAACTTATATTATTATAAAATAATTTTATCCAATATATATCGATAATATAGATAACTTTTAAGGCTTTATATTTCTAATTTAATAAGAGAAATATAAAGATTCCTGTAGAGAGAAAAAATGGTGGCACTCACTTTTTTTCTTTCTAAAAGGTCAGACATGAAAATTGAAGGGAGTGATGGGAAGAAAACACTTCACATGTTGCAAGAGAAATAAATGTATTTTCCGAACTTTAATTATAAGGATTAATGTTTCTTTTACTATAGGAGATATCGAAATTATTTGAAATTTAGGGAAAAAATACAGGGTATAATAAAAATACATTATACAAAAAAATTATCAAAATATCTTGTATTTTTTCATAAATCCCAAAATAACATCCTTTTGAGATTGTTGAATATAACTTTATCTCCTGTTATATGAAAAATGATTTTTTCTTTTATTATAAAGTGCAAAGTTTGTTTTTTCAGATTACACGTATATTGTTACGAAATATGGAAGTTAAAATTTTCTCATCGAAAGAAATCAGGGGGAAAAAAAGACAATAAATAAAATACAATACGGATCATTACAAGAAAGAAAAAATGAAAATAATAATTCTCAGTTTTCAATGGTGAACCCAACAAGGGTTGCCAACATCCATAAACAGAACCAACAAAATGCAATGTAAAAGCATTTGCATGGATCCACACGTACGTTGAATAAATATATATGGCCAAATAAATAAATTAGAGAAAAGTCCAAATACCTTATGGTTGGCCTATAAGCATACAAAGCAAAAGGATATATCCTTAGAATTCGACAGATGGGTGACCCAAATTATTGAAAGCCAAAATCAGAAAAATATTCACATTGGCTTTGTTGCTTACATATTCATACTTCAATGACTTCATTAGTTAAGGGAATTAATCACTATTCATATTAAGTATATTGATTTTTCAAATTTTTATGTCTATACAGTACATTTCTTATTGTCACTTTTACATTATTTTAGTTCTTGAAGATAAATTTTCTATTTTTTTTACAGAAGACATAAATAAGATGGTGTATACAAAATTTGTACAAAACTTTAGTAACAAACTATAAAATTTGGAAAAATGATTTCACTAAGTTTATATGAAAGATGCTTGTGCTCAATGTACAATTTTAAAGTTTTGCACATATCGTTCTGTTTAAAGGTTTGACTAATGGGTTTTTGGTTTTTTGATGACTTCAGTTTACGTGCTAATTTTTTTTTTCAGATTTGTTTCTTTCTATTTTTAATATTTTTATCTTTAACAAAATAAAGTGGATCATATTTATACTATTTTTTATTTTTTTTCTTCTCTGATGACTTCAGTTTCGCAAAACCTGTGGTCCCTTATCTCCGTGCTAATTTTTATTTTCAGATTTGTTTCTTTCTATTTTGCTGTTATTTTTATATTTTTATCTTTAACAAAATAAAGTAGATCATATTTATACTATTTTTTTTTCTCTATTCTTTTTATGCGCGCACGACAGAGAGTAGCATACCAATGTACCAAAGCTAAAACTTAATAATTAACAAAGCTAATTCTGGTAGATTATATTTGTAAAGGAAAATTATTCTCTCATGTAATAGGAGAGAGTTATCTTATGTTGTAGATACATCGACAAACGTATTTTTTATTTATTTAATTTTTAACATATGGTGGGACCCACAATGTGTTAGGTCTATAACATGAGAGGAATATCTCCTACAACATGAGATTAAATGCTCTCATTTGTAAATGGAACTCCCATTATTTTTAACATATTGTCACTAATTTAAATATCTTTATGCATAACGAGGGACAAAGATAAAACGTAATAATTAACCAACTTTACTTAGTTGGATTATATTCCGATCCAGATTTTGTTATTGGGCTTAGGCTCGAGGCAGGCTTCTTGATAGGACAAGACCTCTCCGGCTAGACCTTAAGGTTGTGGATCGATCTACACTCACAATCCTCTCCCCATTCTCCGGCACCCATGATCATATTTGACGACACTTGCGTATTTATTTATTTAAATCAGGAGAGTACATACTTTTCTTCAAAAGTAGGGATATAAATAGGCTATGTCGGGCTAGATTTTGTCTTAAATAAGCCATGCTTATTAAAATACTTTAAGCCCGACCTTGTTTGTTAGCCTGTATAGGCTCAAATTACAAGTTTGATCTAATATATATTTAATAAATAAAAGTTTTGGCCTAGACTTATTAGCTTGTTTAAGCCTATTAGGCATTCAATAAATAAAAATAAAAATATATTATTTTATTACTCACAATCATTAAAATAATAATTTATTTATTTTATTTAAAATAAATAATATGATATAGGCCTGATATATAAAAGAAAGTCCATGTCATGCTTTAAATAGGCTTTTTGAATGTTTGAGTCTGTTCTATTTGACTATATGTAATAAGCCGAGTCTGACTTGATGTAAACTAAGTCGCAGGTCCCAGCTAGGCCGGCTGATCCATTTACACCCCTCCACCGCTTATAAACTATCATTGTTTATATTTGTTAAAAAAAAAAAGAACACTCATGATAAAAATCATGAGATATGGCTTAGTTATATTGGGTTTTATGTGGGCAACTTTATTTAGGGAAAAAGTTTTGTTATTTTAGCAATTATAATTATGTATGGGTAGTATATAATTATAATATTAAAATTATATTTTTGCTCTCTCTTCAAAAGCTATCTGTTGACGTGAAAAGTGAAAAAAATACAACTTTAATATTAATAATTATGTATAACCCGTAGTACACAGTTATAATTGATAAAAAGATACAACTTTATATCATTTAAAATGACACACTAAATTCTTTTATTTATGGTGTATTAGTTTAAACTTGTGAAAATATCTCGGGGTCAAAACCTTAGTGTGTGAGTATTCATTTCCATACCTAAAAGATACGGGGACATGTCTTCACAAATAAAAAATGTTGCCCCATATTGCATGTTTGTCACTTACTTTTTATTCTTTTAAATCCACACACTCAGTGGAAAGGTCTAGAGTTGGGTGGTACTATTGGATGGCAGACAGAAATTTGTGCTAAATATGCAGATACTACTTAAGAATCAATCAAAGAATAAGCTTAAATTATGATTAAACCGTCAAATTAATTCGATGAAACTTCAACTATATCCAAATATAGTTTGTATTATTTGCGTATTAAAATTAAAAACACTTTTTATGTATGAAATTTCTAAGAAGGATATGTGAAAACAAATTATGTGAGCAAATATGATGGTGGTGGAGGCATTGGTGGTGGCAATGGGGCGGTGGAGATGTTGTGATAGTGGTGGCAATAATAATAGTGGTATGGATGGTGGCAAGGTAGTAATAACACTGATGGAGGTGGTGGCAAGGTGTGGTAGTGGCAATGCTCACGATAATAGTGGTGACAGTAACAAAGACGGATTGATTGAGATTGAAATGATTCTGATAACATTGAAAATGTGATGGTGGTGATGGTAGCACCGCCAGTGATGATGGTGATAGTAATATTTAAATTTTTATTTTGGCTGAAATGATTGTGATAACATTGAAAAGGTGATGGTGGCACCAATGATGATGGTGATAGTAATATTTAAATTTTTATTTTGGCTAAAATATAAGTTACTTTCTTGAACTTTGACCGTGTTTTAAATTACCTCCTTGTACTTTTAATTGTTTCAATTAACCTCGTACTTTATAATTGTTTCGAATCAACAATTTCGGTTAAAAATTTTACAAACTCTGTTAAATCTCCTCACATGCCCTAAGCCCCAAATCACAAAAATTTCTTCTCTCTTTTCTTCTACGTTCTCCCATCTCTTATTATAATTTTCTTTGGATCTTTTATCAGTAGTTTGAGATGATTTCGATTTGGATCATAGAAAAATAACATAGAAGAATCTTCACAAAGTTTGGAAATGATCATCTTGTTATTATTTATTCACAAAATTTTCAGCAATGATCTTTTCTTTTACGATTTGGGATGATCTTTTCTTCTCTCTTTTCTTTAGCTCTTGATTATTTATTCACAAAGTTTCCAGCGATGATTGTTTCTCCTTTGTAGAAGATGTTAATATTTTTTAATAGAGACATTGAAAGAACATAGAAGAAAAGAGACACATTAATCTTCTCCGATCCAAATCAAAATCATCCCAAACTATTGTAATAAGAGATGAGAGAACGTAAAAGAAAAGATATAATTTTTTTTTTTGAGATTTGGGGCTTAGGGCATGTGAGGAGATTTAACCGAGTTTGTAAAATTTTTAACTGAATTGTTAATTTGAAACAATCATAAAGTACAGAGGGTTAATTGAAATAATTAAAAGTACAAGGAGATAATTTGAAACATGATCAAAAGTTAACCTATATTTTAGCCTTTTATTTTTAATTCTTTTTAGAAGCCAAAAATTTTAGCTTCAAACAAAAAATAAATTTTTAACTTTGTGTTTTGAAAGGCAGACATCCAAATACTAATGTGTAACAAATTTTGTTTTCTACTATTTTTATTTTTATCTTTTTAAAAAAACAGCATTTAGAGAAAACAAAATACTTTTTTGTTTTTATTGAGCTGAAGGTTTTGTTTTTACAACTTGGCTCAATGCCTAGTCACCCATCTTACTAAGCAAATAAATGCCTTAGCAATGAAGTTAGTAGTATAAAATAACAATTGAAGGGTGCAGGAAGAGCAATGAATCATTTTATATCTTGTTTTCATGTGAAAAATGTCAATCATTGTCACAAAATAACTATCATCAATTAATAATTTCTATTTTTTCATTTTACCATAAATTCTTAATCTGACAATTCTAAGAACTCCTAAAAAAAGAATTAATATATGAAATCATTATGCTTTCTAAAACTGCAAATCATTCCTTCATGAGATTCCATCTCAAAAATCCAAATTCAATTAATACTATAGTCATGTTCACATCTTTGAAAATACACTCATTATGTTTGTTACAAACGAAAGATTCACAAGTTGGTTCAAACCTTAGATGAACCACACTGACCCTAAATGCCAATATGGTTTCTGAACCAAAACTAGTGTTGCATCAGATTAACTGAAATCTGGCTGTGTTAAACTGACCTCTTTAAAATAAGGCAGGAAAACACAGATCTTGACCAAATAATTGCGCTGCATGAGTAATTAATCAGGGCAAGGTAAAAAAGAAATAGGAAAAAAAAAATTAAGAAGAAGAGGAGGCTTATGCATCCTATACTTTATGTAATTCCTACCCCTTTCTTTTCTTTGTACTCCCTAAAAGAACATCATCCTACAAAGCCAGAGTATATAATCCCACGTAAAATCAACCCATCACACTCTCTAGCACTCCATTACCAAAAGACTCCTTGTACTGCGGTTGAGGTTTAAGTAAAGCTATGAGAAGAGGATTTCTTCTAAGGCAAGAAAGAAAGTCACCCTTGTCAATTTTTCCATCATTATTGTTATCAAATAGCACAAAAAGCTCATGAACCTACAAGTAACAAGTTAACATCAGTCAAAATGAAATAAGAGCTAAAAGGATGCTAGTGACAGAAACACAGGAGAGAAGGAAAGGATTTTACTAAATAAGAGTTACCTCATCCTCCTCCCAGCTGGAAATAGCAGGTTGGATGAAATCTCGTAACTGATTTTAAAGGGAATTGGAAAAAAAGAAAAATTTAGTGTTTATCAAACATATAGTTAAGGCCAATAGAGGAATGAAAGATCATAATACTTCTTGTTCAACAATGTAGGCCTTTACTGCACCACCACACTCAGCAAAGGCTACTTCACAGGCTTGATGGAACCCTGGCTGCTTCATGACATGTGCAGACCCGAACAAGAACTGGAGCAACATACAAGCATGTGCGTGAGATGTTAGGTGTTGTAAAGAACAAGAACATTTTGAACTTAAAGCTGCAGATAGTATCTTTTTGCCCAAAAAGTGCAGATGTCAAATGTAGAAACGATACTTCTAATCTTCTATACAGAAACTGGTAGATTATTGAAAATAGTCACCTGTCTGAATGTAATTGTCCCTCTCTTCTCCACATCAATGAATGCAAATATCTGTAATAAAATATAATCAACGTGACAATCGAAGGAAAAAGGGCAGTAAAAAGAACTCAAGTCATGTGGGAGTTCAAAAGCTTTGGCAACAGTGAGAAGACAAATGTGGGAAAAAAGAAGTTGGAATGAATCTTGCCAAGCTAAAATAATGGAGGAGCAAAAAACGGAAGCAAATTGAGTACAGACAACTTTATTTCAAAATTACAAGCTTATAAATAATATTGCAACATTCAGATAGTAAATTATCGTAAACTGTGTCAGGCACATGGCATTAGTGAATTTGACATAAAATAAAAGGGTCAGAACATCAAATCTCAAGGCACTTAAATCCCACAATATCAAAGAAATCTTGTGCTATTTGGTAACTAACCTTTTCAGATAAAGGGCAAGCTTTGAGTCTTAATACCCTCAAGAAGTCATGATACTGAACTCGACCACTGCAAGCAGGATATGAACTTTATCAATTTCCACAAGATAAATAATAGTTAAGTACTGCCACAAATAGTAGCAGTCATCAGTGGTAAGAACAAGCAAACTTTAACATTTGTGGTAAAGTTCACCAAATGCCATCAATATGTATAGGTCATTGATGAAAGCATAAATAAATAAACACATCAAAAGAAAATACTATACAGGGAGGCCATGGTTGCTAGTTGATGAGGTTCCAACTTGCTATCTATTAAGAGCCAAAATGAGCATGAAACTTATCTAAAAATAACTAAAAGATATGAGAATTGTAATTAAAGTGTAATTTTACCCTAAGTAATATTCTCACAATAAATTCTCGTGTTTTGTAGGAATTTTTCTAATTGAAGAATATCAAGATTGGAGAGCTCAAGAGTTATGGGAAGCAATGAAAAGCAAGCCGCACCACTAGCACCAGCATGGCGCTAAAGGTGCCATGGTCCCTTGTCTCCGCGCTAAAGGCACCAACACTTTATAAACATCTAACAGTCAGGATATTACATGCACAAAATCCAAGATTTCCTCATGTCTGAAAGAGCATCACATGCCCATACACATTAGGCATCTGAGGTAAATAGGAGGAGTTTGAGATGTAAGTGGCAATCTCATACCCATTTAGCACGCATGGACATCTTGTTCAGGCCTCCAATTGGAATGAAGATGTCTCTGCGCCAAGCACCTCTCAAATGCCCAACCAGAGAAATATTTTCATGCCATATACACAGTAGTTTCAAATTTCAAAGCTGATGTCCTCATTTATGGTATCACTTGAATATGAAATAATAAGGTGTGCTGACTTCCCAGAGTATCCTTGCCCCAAAGAGACAAGAGAATATCTTCTATAGAAAATAAATAAATGTAAGAACTAGGGAAACTGCAAAATTTAATGGTAACCATTTGGGTGAACTTTCATTTAACCCCTACATTTCACTTCCTGCAAAGAACTATTACTTCTAATAGAGTGATGGAACTCAAAACCAAAAGTCGTTACATTAACCCAAGTTTGGAGACATAGCTCCTTACAATGACTTCCACAACAGGAAAGGAAATTCAAGCTAAAAGAAAGGACAAACACTTATCAGACTTAGAAAGCCTGTACATCACAAATGCAGAACCCAACAAAAAAAGAAGACACAATACGGTGACACTGAGACCTCCAGAGCCTCACTCCTTCTAGTAGCCCCCAAATCAGAGCAAACAGCCTACTCTCAGCACTCTCCTCTTTTCCTTTTATCCCCTTTGTCCTTTTATTTTTTCTTCTCCTCAACTCTTCTTTTGCCACTTGTCTTGTTTGCAAGCTAGGTCTCCGTCCCTTGTCTGGACTTGTTCATTTGGCAACCCACACACTTAGCCCATCCTCCTTTGCAAACTTCTTCTTTCTTTTTCAATATACTTGTTTAAATGGCTCGACAACACCTCCTCCCCTCAAGTTCCACCTTGTCCTCAAGGTGCAAGGTCGGAGACTGCTGCTGCATCTCCTAAAGGTCTTCCCAAGAACATTCACAGTCTGGGAGATCTTCCCATAATATATACTTTTATCTTCCCATTCAACAGTTTATGGGATTTTAGAACTTTAACAAGTTTAACTTGCAGCTCCAACTCCTCTGATAGACACCTTGGAAGTTCTAACACTGGAACGACAGGATTAACAGCTCTTTTGAGAAACATGAAAAATGGGATGAACCTTCGAATAATTAGGGAGCAATAGCTGATATGCTACGGGTCCAACCTTCTTTATAATTTCAAAGGGACTATAAAATCTGGGGTTGAGCTTCTGATTGATTTGTCTAGCTAATGACCCTATATTATACGGCTCTATTTTGATATACACCATATCCCCCTACACAAAATCAACTTCTCGTCTATTCTTGTCCGCTTGGAACTTCATTCTTTCTTGTGCCTTCCCAAGTTTTTGTTTCAACTCATCTAAGATAGAGCTAACATTCTACTGCTACCACAGGGCTACAACCTTTCTCTATCTGAATTAATGCAGGTGGGTCCCTTTAAAAGGAAACATTTGTATGGATTGATTGAAGGAGGAACCAAACCAAAAATATATTTCAGCCAACTCTTAGGATGACCCCCACAAAACATCTCAAATAAGTCTCTAATGTTCTGTTGACGACCTTTGTTTGTCCATTCATTTGTGGATGATAGGTGGAGCTGAACTTCAATTTGGTGCCAGCCAATCTAAACAACTCTCCCCAAAATTTGCTAAGAAACACTATGGATCTAAGGAAACCATGAAGCCATACAATGTCTCTCACAAAGAAAGAAACAACTTCTTGAGCTATACAAGGGACGATAGAGAAAATAAGTGTGCATATTTAGTTAACAAATCTACTACGACTAATATGGTGTCCCTACCTTGGGATTTGGGTAGACCTCCTATAAATCCTTGGAAATGTCCTCCCATACTTCTTCAAGTATGCTCAAGGGTTGCAATAAGCTTGTTGGAATCAAGCTGCTATGTTTTTGTTGTTGGTATCAAAGCTCTGAACCCTTGGAGTTATGACCAACACATTGTGGATGATGGAGGAACGTGTGACCAATATGGAATACAGCATGGGTGGGTTAGAGCATACATTGAGGCAACTACTAACGACTATGTTGGAGTATCTGAATCGCATGGACCAGGAAAAATGAGAGGGTAACAGAGATGGAGAGAGTGATGATAGGACTTCACGTCATGGTGGACACCAAAGAGAAGTAGAGTGGCTGAGACGTTTGGAAGTTCCTTACTTCACTGGAGAAGACCCCTACGGATGGGTTTAAAGGGTTGAACGATACTTTCATGTTTATAAAATTACAGTGGAGGATTAAGTGGAGATCTCCTTGATTTGTTTGGAAGGTAGAGCTCTGAGGTGGTTCCAATGGTGGAAACCCAAGAATCCCACTATGGATTGGGAATTGTTCAAGGCAACATTGCTCCAACGATTTCATTCATCTTCTTCAAGAAACCCCTGTGAAGCACTTGTGTGCCTAAAAAAAATGGCACGATTGCAAAATATATGGAAAATTTTGAGATGTTTCCACACTGTTATGCCATGCCAATGATCAGGTGGTGACAACAACATTCTTGAATGGGCTCATAGATGATATCAAGGTTGAGGTGTGTTTGCACACTATTAATGACTTGGGGCGGATTATGGCTTTGGCATAGAAAATGGAGGAACATGAGATAGTGTGGGTACGAGAAGGGAAAGGAATGGGACGATGGGGTTGTGGGCCAAGTGCGGGAGTGGGTAATGGATCAGGTCAATATATTAAGAGTAGCTTCACCCAGCAGGGCCCAAAGTTAAGAACCCTTTGGTCGCTAGAGAAGTGCAAACTGGTTTGGGAGCCTCCTTTAGTTTACAAGGATCAAGTACTGGAGCGAGTGGCCCACGAAATGGGCCCAATGCATCAAATAGACCAGGGCAAACCCTAGGATCCATCCAGTCAACAACTCACAATCTGAATGGAAACTAAGAGAAAGGTGAGACGTCACAAGCGACAGGCAATGGCGCCATGGGTGGAGAATAACAGACAACCAGATTCCGACGATTGATAGCTAACTAAATGGCGGAGAAATTTGGGTTGTCGGTACGATGCTCCCTTCTCCCAGATCACATATGCTGAAACCAAAATCTCAATGATGATTTTGGGCACAGGGGAAAAAGTCATTAAAGAGGAAGGAGAAAAGGCTTTACAGAGGGAAGAAACAAACGGGGAGTCCCTCAGATGAGCGTTCACAGTGTTGTTGGATTAACTTCGAAAAGATCACTGAAGGTATGGGGAGAAATTAAGGGCACTAAGGTTCCGGTGTTGATTGACTCGAGTGTTTTACACAACTTCCTAGCAAAGCATGTGGCACAGAAAATAGGATTTCCCATCGATAACACAAAGGTATTTTCGGTGGAAGTAGGTGATGGGCATAGAGTTAATAATCAGGGAATGTGTTGTGGAATGGTATTGGAATCACCAAAGCTGAAGATCGTACAAGATTTTTTCTTGTTTACTTTAGGGGGAATGAATGCCATAAAAAATTAGGGAAAACCTCGAAAAAATGAGTGGTTATGATTCTCTGAGGTGAAGAAGTAGGGACAGTTAGAAGTTTCTCACGGGATTTCCATGGCTATCCATCCAGCAATTTCAAGGTCTTTTCAAACCACCCAACAGTCTCCCACTTGCAAGATCATGTGATCATAGGATAGTTCTCAAGGAAGGGACGTTGATTCCTAATATTAGACCGTATAGATACCCTTACTACAAAAAAGAAGAGATCGAAAAATTCTGCCAAGTACAAGCCTTTATTCCAATCCACTCGTTCTTATCAAGAAGAAAGACGGGAGATGGCGTTTTTTGTGTGAATTATAGGGTATTAAATTAGGTCACAATCATAGATAAATTTCCTAATCCAGTCATAGATGAATTGATAGATAAAATAGGAGGATTAGTCATCTTTCTAAATTAGATCTCAAATCGGGATACAATCAAATTAGGATGTGTGAAGCTGACATCGAAAAGACTGCATTCTGTACCCATGAGGAACATTACGAGTTTATTGTAATGCCCTTTGAGTTGAAGAATGGCCCCTCCTACATTTCAAGCTTTGATACCAAAATGATGGAACTCAAAACCAAAAGTCATTATATTAACCTAAGAGAATTTGGAGACGGAGCTCCTTACAATGACTTCCACAACAGGAAAGGAAATTCAAGCTAAATGAACAAACAAACACTGACTCTCAGACTTGGAAAGCCTATACATCACAAATGCAGAACTCAACAAAAAAGGAAGGCACAATACAGAGACACTGAGACCGGGCCTTCCAAAGTCTCACTCCTTCTAGTAGCCCCCAAATCAGAAAAAATAGCCTACTCTCTACACTCCCCACTTTTACTCTTATCTCCTATGTCCTATTTTTTCTTCTCCTCCACTTATCTTTTGCCACATGTCTTGTTTACCAGCTAGCTCTCCTTCCCTTGTCTGGACTGATTCATTTGGCAGCCCACTCACTAGCCCATCCCCCTTTGCAAACTTCTTTCTTTTTCCATATACTTGTTTAAATGGCTCAACAAAGAGGCACGGAATTATGGGAAGTTAGCAACCAGAAGTACTTCAACAATCATTTCCCATAAGGTGATTCCATTATGACTAAGACAGTCAACTGAAGCAGAAAGTCAACATTGATTGTCATTTAGGTACAGTGTGTATCATTCATAACAAAAATAAATATTCATTAACTTATAATTTTGTTTCCCCTTTAAGGTTTTCCTAATTAGTTACAAGAATGTGATAATAGTACCTGGGATCAGGATTCATAGCCAAGAATTTATCCAGAAAGTCAACAGCTTCCAAGCTGCTGATATGAAACAACTGAAATGAAACACAAAATCTCTTATATCCTCCCTTCCAACATTGCTAGAAGAATAATTTAATTAAAAGAAAACAGACTAGATCAAACTTGAAAAAAGAAAAATATCCAGTTTGGCAATCTATGAATACAAGGCCAACAATTCCCATGCAAGGATATTCAAATTTAAATTGGCAATACCGTAAAGGCAGACCAGTCAGATAGACAGGATGGGTCATACTATAACTTATCATAAACATAACATTGCACAAAATATTTTCTCCCTTTCACTACATATTACTTGGACAAAAAAGTTGATGAACACAAATACAGTTGGCAATATTTCAGGACTATGTGTTACAATAGGAAAGCATACTTGGAAATTTCCTTTACTTCTACAATAAAATGACTTTAAAAAGCAACAATAGAAGACATGATCAGACAGACCAGAAACAAAATCATAAAATAAAATAAAAAAAATCAGGTAAAGTAATGCTACTTGCAAATTCATTGAGCAACCCCAAAGGCTTCGTTTGATAAATCAATCAAGGTGAAGGTTCTCTCTTCAATTTGTGGGCTCAGACATTATGAGGCAACTTATCTCTAGCATCCATTGGCATAAACAAAGGGATACAGTGGCATTCGCATATACTAGAGGAGAAACAGAATGAATTTTTTAACCTAAAAATCCTATTTAAACAAGCTGAAGAAAAAAATTATTTACCAGGGACTTGACAAAGGCAGTATATATAAAAAAAAGAAAGTTAATTGTACATTTAAAAAATTACAACATTAATTCAAGCTCATTTAAGGACTCACCGATTCCACCTTGGCCATTTCAACCATATAATTTGAGGGGTTCTCCTGCAAAAGTCAATAAGTTGAAATGTCAATGACAACAAAACTGGATTGCTATTTTTTCAGAATCAGTAGAAACAGGTGAAGCATAACAAACACAAAATCTATTGGAAAAAATAGGTTATAATACCCTGAGGATGAGTTGAAATTTTCAGTATCATGACATGTGAGGAAATATTTAATACAACTGCAATACATGAGGTCATATTTTGCATTAATAGTTGGCAACTCCAACCTTCATTCCTTAAGGTTGCTACAGCAACCAATATACTGATTTAATCCAAACAAGACTAAAAGCAAGCACCTAAACAAGTGCAAGAGTGTCGAGTGGTTTGATGAGTGGAAACGGTAAAAGTGTAGTTTTGGGACTGAGCAGTTGGAAGTAAGAGAAGTTGACCCATGAAAATTTGGATGTTATTTATATCTCACTTTAATAATTAGATAAAACAAAAAAAGAGAAAAAAGAAGGATTTTGATTGAATAATGTGGGTAAGATAGGTGTCATCTTGATTAGTAGTATAGAGTAGCAACAACGAATTTGACAGGAATATGAATTGTTGGAGCAGATCATAATTTAACAGTGTTTGCCTATGGTATGGATATGAGCTATGAAAACTAATACTTGTTCTTTCAGCTTTTTAATCAATCACAATCTATAAGAACTGATTGGAAGCGAATAATATAATCAGCCAACCCCAAGCAAAAGCTTTTACTTTTTCCTGGGTCAATTATGAAATTTAAATCATAATGGACTCCGGAATCAGTAGCATAAGTTCAAATTGATGCATTCAAAAGCCATGGTGATTTTCTCCATAGTCATGCATGATTTTCTCAGTTTTTTCAAACAAAAATATTTTTGGTCTGTAATATGAGATCTTCAGCTTAACCCAGATTGCCATTTCAACGGCAGGAAAGTAGTGTGCTTCCCACGCATGACACATCACAGCGGATCAAAATTATCAATCTCCAAGTAGAAGAAAGCAGTATGTAAAAGAAACTCAACTGTAAATTTGTTTACATGGTTGTCTCTGTCTTTCTGATACATGTATCTTCTATTAAAGTTTTCAATTTAATATTGTGATTAATATGTTGTTCAATATACCTCTTTTGGCTTAGTTCTTGACCTTTTTCCCATTTTTGTTGGCTTTTATTATAGGCAGAGTGGCAGACATATACATACGTGATTAGAAGCTTACTTCTTTGTATTGATAAAAGCAAAAAAAGCTAAGAATAAAAAGTTATTTTTGTTATGAATTATGATGGCTGGTGTCCTACGAGACTGTTAGAACTGAATGTTTCATTCATATATTCAAATGGAATCAGATTTTACAATATATAACAAAGGCAAAAAGGTAAAAAAGGAAACAACAAAAGCTACATGGGCTAAGGCCCATTACACTAAGTTACAAGAAATACCCACACTCCCCCTCACGTTGGGAGATAAATATTAATCATTCCCAACTTGTCTATTAAGTTATCAAAAATTGATCTACGTAGACTCTTAGTAAGAATGTCTGCAGTTTGCTCTTTGGTAGGGATATATGACATACACTCCCACCATCCAATTTCTCCTTGATGAAGTGATGATCAACCTCCACATGCTCCACATGCTTTGTTCTGTCATGATGAACAAGATTTTTGAGCAATCCTGATTGCTGCCTTGTTATCACAATACAACCTTAATGGTAAGGAATAAGAGATCTTCAGTTCACCTAGGAGTCTTCTTAATCAGACTCCCTCTCAAACTCCATGAGCTAGTGCTCGGAATTCTGCCTCAGCACTACTCCGTGAAACCACTATTTGCTTATTGCTTCTCCAAGATACTAAGTTTCCCTACACATAGGTGCAATAGCCTGAGGTTGACTTTCTGTCTACCGATGAACCTGCCCAATCCGCATCAGTGTAGACTTCAATCATCCTATTATACCCCTTTTTGAAGAACAATCCCCTTCCTGGTGTACTCTTGAGATACCTTAGGATTCTATAAATTGCACCAAGATGTTTATCTTTGGGTGAATGCATAAATTGGCTAACCATACTTACTGTAAAAGCAATGTCAAGTCGAGTATTGGACAAGTAGATCAATCTTCCAACCAATCTTTGATACTGCTCTTTGTCCCCCTCTTTCCCATCTTCAATACCCAACTTAATGTTGGGTTCTATACGTGTTTTAACTGGCTTGTATATTAGCATACCTATCTTATGAAGCAAATTTAAGATGTACTTCTTTTGAGAGATTGTGATCCCTGTACTGCTCCAGGCTACTTCCATGCCAAGGAAATACCTTAGGACTCCAAGATCCTTCAGTTCAAAATGACCTGCTAATAAGGAATCTAACTCCTCATGGTCATCACCAGTAATAATTATGTCATTCACAGACTAAAAGAATGGCAACTTTACCATATCCTTCAAGTGTTTGTGGAAGAGTGTATGATCAGTTTGGGCCGATAAAAAAACCCTTCCTCTTGACCGCTTGAGTGAATTTATCAAATCATTCTCTAGGAGACTGTTTGAGTCAAGAGACTTCTTTAACTTACAAACCAAGCCAGCTCCTTTTCCGAAACTAGGTGGAGGATCCATATAGACTTCTTCGTGTAGGTCACCATTCAAAAAAACATTCTTCACATCCAACTGTTGTAAAGGCCAATCAATATTAGCAGCCAAGGATAGAAGAACTCTAACAGTGTTGAATTTGGTAATGTTTCTTGATAATCTATCCCATACGTCCGAGTGTACCCCTTTGCAACTAGTCTGGCCTTATATCTATTGATGCTGCCATTTGCATTGAATTTGATGGTGTACACTCGTTGGTTGCTTTCCTCTTGATAATTCCACAATATCCCATGTGTTATTTCTTTCCAAAGCATCCATTTCTTCAATGACAGCCAACTTCCAATTTGGATCATGAAGGGCTTCTTGGATATTTTTGAAAATCTTCATACTATCCAAGACTCTGTTGAAGGCACGAAAACCCGGAGATAATGTGTCATAGGAGACAAATTGAGAGATGGGATGTGAAGTACAAGATCTGGTTCCTTTCCTGAGAGCAATTTAAATGTAAATCCTCATAGGCATGTTGGGTTAGATCCGAATTGTTGGAACTAGTAGCCGAAGTGGAATCCTGGCAGTGCAAAGAGTCTAGATTATTTATATTTTGACGAGGCTATTTCCGACTATAAACCAACAATTGTTTCCACTGATTATTGTCTCCATCTTTTTTCAACTATTCATCTCCCCCGTTTCCAATTGTGGTGAGTTCTATGATGAAGGAATGGATAAGGGAAGAGGTAACACTGAGGGTTCCCAAGACTAGTCTTCATCTAGAAGCTCCCCTTGAAAAGAAGGCTGAGAAAAGAAAGATTGACTCTCAAAGAAAGTGACATCCATGGAGACAAAAACCTTTCGAAGAGATGGGGAATAACATTTATATCCCTTTTGAGAAGGAGAGTATCCAATGAAGACACACTTATGAGATTTAGGATCAAGTTTGGATCGTTGGTGTGATGGACCATGGACAAACACAACACACCTGAACAATTTTGGAGGAAGAGAAGACATAGACCTAAGAGAGGGATAGTTCTTTAAAAGACATGATAGCAGAGAAAGAAACTGAAGGACACGAGCAGACATTAAGGTAGATGGCATTTAGAACGGCTTCAACCCACAAATATTTAGGGACATTCATCGCGAACATAAGAGCACAATCAACTTCAAGAAGGTGCCTATTCTTTCTCTCTGCTACCCTACTCTGTTGAGGAGTATCAGGACATGAACTCTGATGAAGGATGCCATGATGAGACAGGTATTCACCAAGGATAAAATTAAAATACTCTTTACAATTGTTTGTCCGAAGAATTTTTATGGAGATGCCAAATTGGTTCTGAACCATGGCATGAAATTTTTTGAAAACTTGTACAGTATCAGACTTTTCTTTGAGAAGATAGACCTAACACACTCGAGAAAGGTCATCAATGAATGTAAAAAACCATTGTAAGCCAGAAATATTCTTTACACAATATGGACCCCATATATCACTGTGAACAAGAGTAAATGGGGGAATTCTTTATATTTCCTAATGGGATATGATACGCGAGAGTATTTTGCTAACTGATTGATGACACAAGAAAAGAAACTTACGGTGCCACAACATTACAACATCACCACAATTGGAAACAAAGAAAGGATCATTTTCAGCAAAAGCAGCTTGATTCTCTATATAATCAGATCCCTAAAAAATGTAGAGTCTTCCTTCTTCTTTAGCACTGTCAATTATCTTCACCGCCCCCCACTTTTTGTTGAGATATATAAAACCATTAATATAGCCTCACCCAATAGCTTAAGCTTTTAGGTTGAATTGGTTCTCTACATAGTATCAGAGCTTCAGTGACCATGAGGTCACGAGTTCGATCCTCACCGCCCCTCACTTTCAGGTGGAATTAAGAAAAGCACAAGGCAGACCAAAAAAATGGGTTTGTGCAACACAAGGCAGACCAATACTGGGCTTGTGCCATATCCACGCTTCAAGCCCAAAGGGCTCTTACGTGAGGGGGGGTGTTAAAAAATATAATATAAATCATTAAAAAGACTCTCACCCAATACCTTAAGGTTTTGGGTTGAATTGGTTCTTTACAACCATGCACCGAAAATTTTGCAACACAACTAAGCTCTATTGTCAGCTTACGAACAAAAATGAGATTGCATGCTAAATTAGGGACATGTAGGACATAATTTAAGACAATCTTCTTGGAGAGTTTAAATTTTTGTATTCCTGCAATTTGGGAAAAACTTCCATCCGTTATTTTGACCCTAGAATTTCCATAGCAAACTTGGAGTCAAATTTGAAGATGAGGTATCCAATTCGAACACAGAAGAAGTTGATGCATGGGACGTGATACTCTCTGAGTCATCCAAAGCAGTAAACTTGGAGTCTGTTACAGAAACAGCAGCAAAAAGGCACTGATTTGAGCCCAACAACAACAACAGACCTCTCTAAGTTGTTTTTTTACTTGGGTAGCCATAGTCTGAAAATAAAAAAATGTCTCCATTCACCAATTCAAGTCTTCAAACAGATAGGAGAGACGAAGTCGAGCCGAACGAGACCGGTCTGATCAAAACAGGACCCTGCAGGGTGGCACGTAGCTGTCACACCGAAAGAGGGCTTCGAGGCTCACTCTCCGAGCTGTCTCCGGCGCGTGGGGTCACGTGACTAGCCAAATTCCAGTGGGCCTTCTTGGAACTTGTAGATCGGCATTTTCTGATTGCAATGGTACTTGTTTTGGCCGGAAAAGTAGCAAGAAAATTTTTCCGGAGACGACAAATGATGTTTACAGGCTGGGATTTGACCTTTTTTGGCCATCTATAGTGAATGGTAGCCTTACTTTGCCGTTGAACAAAAGAAAAAACAGCCTTGACAATGCTGTTTTTTAGTTTTCCGGCGATGTGTCGCCGGTTTTTTGTTTTGATGGTGGCTGGGCTTTCTTAGGACCTGGGGGCTCTTGATACCATGTTAGAACTGAATTTTTCATTCATATATTCAAATGGAACGAGACTTTACAATATATAACAAAGGCAAAAAGGTAAAAAGGAAACAACAAAAGCTACATGGGCTAAGGCCCATTACACTAAGTTACAAGAAATTCCCACAAAGACGGTGATTTATCACATGTTTTTTGCATTACTTCTTATGTGTCATGCTTTCACTTTGTAGAGATGGCATACAAAATTAAAGTGTTTAAATATGAGAACTCCGTGGATTCAACATCACAGTACTGAATTCAACATCACAATGTTATTCTGAGTGAAGATAATCTATTAATGCATACAAATCTGATACTTGATTTGCAAGTTTGAAGTTGACCATTTTATACAAATGAACTAGGATGAAGATATAATTGAAACCAATTATAAAAACTGCACACCTGTTTTGCTTCTTGTGCTTTCGAATGAAGCATTGTGTCTCCATAAGAATGTCCAGTCTGTACAACATTCATTGCAGTTGCAATAGCACGGCAAGTCTGCATTTATTGTTATTCACATATTAATTGTTGAATAGTTACTAACTACCAACTCAAGGAAGGATTATGGCGGGATAAAATTCAACAAAGCATCCAGTGTATTTATTAGTAGCAAAAAACAAATTGATAAAAGAGATAGAAAAAAATAAGTTAAAAAAAAAAGCAATGTTTAGTCTTAGGCAAGTTTTGGTCAAATTCCCTACATTAGGTGCCGCTCCAACGTTGTCTTGAATAAACTGGTTCCTAATCATTTCTTTTCTTGTATGTCCACTAATCCACCTTAGCATTATCATCTCAGATTATCTCAGTCTTATCTTTTGTTGGTATATCATTAACCCAGCATTCACTAACATAGAGCATTGCTCGTCGTAATAGTTGTCCGGTAGAATTTTCCTTTGAGTTTGATAGGCACCTTGCAATCACAAGTTACACCTAAAGCATTTATCCATTCCATCCACCTAGCCTGAATCCTATGTAACATCCTCATCAATCCACCTAGACCGAGCAACTTGTGGAAATGTTTCTAACTAGCATCTTATTGAAATTTCATTTTCATACATGCAAAAGATTAGGTTTATAGTCAGATTAGTGCCTCCTTGAAATTTGGGGTGAAAAAAAATAAGGAAATTTTTTCATATAAAGTCCCTGAATTTTTCACCCGTTTTTAAGGGAACACGAGTGCGAGCCTTGAAACAGCAGGTAAGGTTGCTCTTTGTAACCATAAGGTCACGAGTTCGAGTTTGGGAAACAATCTATTTGCAAAAATACAAGGGTAAAGCTGCGTACAATCGACCCTCTCACCTACTCTCGCAAGTTGGGGAGCTTTGTGCACCAAGTTTGCCCTACCAAACTGACCCTCAGATGCCCAAGAAAGGAATCTTCTTCAACTCAATTCAAAGTTAAAATGTATATACATATATAGGTTTCAAGGATCAAACTATTGACAATTGTGTTCTGCAAATAGCAAGTTATGAACTTGTGCAGTCCAAAGTTAAAAGCTTCAAATATACAAGAAGGATAAATATAAAAATTCTCTGACAATACATGAAGCTATAGAACAAAATTAGAAGACTCACCCTCTCACGAAAATGTACAGCAGTTTCTTTATCATCCAGGGGTGAAATGACAGGAAGATATTCTACCTGTTGAATTGATGATGAAAGTTTTAAACTACTTCAAGAATAATAGGTTTCCACACTACGTGGTGGATTAACCACTGCAAAGAAAATCCCAATCCATAAGAGAGTATACCTCGAAGTAGTTGTGGAACTGAGTGAACATCCTGAACATAAGCTTTCCCAAAGAAACATTGCCCCTAACAAATTTGCATGAAAAATAACGAGAGTGATAAATTATGCCTACAAACAATAATAATGAAATACTAGGATCTTCATAAACAAATAGCCTACCAAGATTGATCAAAGTGCACATGAGGATAGCGTACAATTACAGGCTGGATTGGGTACCCAGGGATAAATGCACCAGGTTGGAAGGAGATAAGGCTCCTTCCATTAGTCGTGGTTCCCTCCGGAAATAATAGCACTCGAGGAAATCTATCGCAAGAAGCCCTTCTCTGTTATTGAGATCCTTGAAGGCAGATTTCTATATCAAATAGCTTATAAATTGATAACATGACAAAAACTATATGAAGTAAATTCATGCCCAACATTATCTATTGCTCAGCCTTGTTAGTTCGAATAATTCTTGCATCTTGCTATTCAGTTCCAAAATCTGAAGCTAATGTAATTTTACAACATATTAAATTCTCACTCAACTCTGAGGTTCTCTTCAGTTTATATGGCCAACTAGATTTTTCGTAACTTTATTTTCAATCTCAAGCATTTATGTTGCACACTGTAGCATAAAACATATTGCTCGTATAACTCCTATTTGAGGCCAATAAAAAAACAAAAAAGCAGTATCACTTTCCTGTACATGAACAGAAAACTTCTATTAGTATGTCTTATAGCTACTCTCACTACTCATACTCTTCCTAAATTTTAACCAAATATATTTTAAGAAATTTTGCAGAGGTTTGGTTCAAAAATAGGGGCATCGGAGGGGACAAATGATGTTGTGAAACTCTTGAACAGAGACAGTGGTGACATAGCTAAAAGTAGAAAGGTAACTGACCATCAATTACAGCCATATCAACAATCAAAGAACAAAGATAATTTTAAGATGCAAATAACAATAAGCAAACTAATAGAAATGTTTTACCTTTATTTCCCTGACAGCTTGCTTCCTTGATGATGGTTCGAACCTATTAACATATACGACCTGAAAGCATAAAAAGTGGTGGGGGGGGGGGGGGGGGAATGGAAAAAGGATGAATGACATGTCTTATATTTTTAATTGAGCATACATAAAATTTAACCAAGAAATGACATTACCTGCATTGCTCTAATAATGGTGCCAACAAAAGGTATGGAGTCATGTGACTCAGATGCCACAATGGTGGGAAATAGTTCATAGAAATAGAAGATAGGCTCAATATAAGAAACATGATTAGATACAATTATTGGAGCAATTTCCCTTGGTGCAGGTCTTCCCTTTCGTTTTATCCACTGATAGCTGCAATGGAAAGAAGGAAACGAAAATACAGAGAAATTCATGGTTCATGTATAAAACGAAACTGAAATCAACATTAAAGACGTAAAAATAACCTAACCAACAACTTTTTTTGTTTCTTTTAATATTTTCCTATTTCACCTTTAGTTTCCAATGTTCTCTCTCTAATAAAACTGGCTGAGAAATCCCCCCAAAATCATACATGGAAGGCTCAGTAGTACTGAGTCAGTACCCATATGTTCCCTTCCATTCAACATAACATCACAACAAAGATTTTAATTCATAAAAAATATAAAGAACACTTTATTTCATTTCACCCGTCCCTCTTTCCACCTAAAACAAAGGAATTATCATAAATCAAGCAGAGATGCATATACAAATTCTATAATTATTTGATTAAAAGCCAATTCTATCCTGCATTTATATGGCATGCATTTCATTTTGTTTTTCCCATTCATCTCCCTTCCACCTCCCACCTCCTAAACCAAGAACTTCATTAACTTGGTATGTAAAGTAGTTATCCACGCCTCATTTTCATTAGCAATAAAAAAGTCACTTCCAAAATCCTCAGCTCAATGCTTTGTCTTTTTCCTCACCCAACCACCAAAATTTTGACCTTTAAGACGTCCAGTTTTTATTGTACGATTCACATCACAACATAACAAAGTACTAAAGTCAAACCAATGATTGCATTTACTCTAATCCCACTTCAACAAGCTTCATCATTAATAAAAAAAAAGAAAAAAAAGAAAAAAAAAGTGAATTAGTAAAGATCCTTAGTACTCAAACTAACTACTCTAACGGTCTAACCTAACCAAACCCCAAAGAATGCACTCAACTACCCAAAAAAAAAAAAAAACACAGATACAATACAAACTAAACTAAGATCTTAAATCAAATTTTTAAAAAAAAAAAAAAAAGACTAAGATGTTAAATAATAAGTAAAAATAAAAATGAAATTATCATGTTGAAAGAGTAAAGTATATGTGAAATCTAGAAGTTACCCAAAAGAGAAGAGAATGAATCTGGCGCAGATTCGAGTGATCCACATGATTCTGCATCTCCACCGTGGCATAGGGTTCTCCTTGTCCTTCCACCCGTGCAACGCCAATTTCGTTGCCACGTAACCTACCGCCAGACACAGCCCAAACAGCACCAACCGCACCACCGCCAACGGCAAACACACCACCGTCTTCACCCACTCATAAACCCCCTCCATCTCCGGCGTCCCGTTCCGGAACGGGTCCACCGTGATCGCCGCCGGCACGGTCAACTCCTCATCGCACCCGAGGTGTCGGAAAGGGTTCCATCCCCCGCCGGCACCGCCGGAGGAGGCAGAGTCCTCGACGGTGACGATTAAGTGATCGGAGGAGAGTAGCGGCGAGGTTATGTCATGGTCCGCCATTGATGGAAGAATAAGGTATACGAATACGGTATATAAGAGTACCGTATAAAAATACGAATGAAGAAAGAAGAAAAAAGAAAGAGAAGAAGTGAGTGATGGAGTTGCAATATGTGTTTGAGTTGTGTATTCTGTTGTGTTGTGTTGTGATGTGTGGAGTGAGTTTTTATATATCTTTCACTCATTGTCGTTGGTTTTTGGGTTTTTATAGAAGATGTGTAACTAGTGTGTGTGTGTTTATGTGGGGTGGTGGTGCCTTTTCAAATTTCATGTGTGTATCTGAATTTGGTATTATTGTAATTAAGGAGACTATGGAGGAGCATCATGTAGCCACGTGCACTGTGCACAATGCACAATGCATGTGGACTGCTTTACCTCATTTTCTATAGATTGTTAAAAAGTGTAGTTTGTGAATTTGAACTCAAAATAAATAAATAAATAAGAGTTTTATATTTATATGAATTTTGTTGATGCAACCCATGAAAGGGTAGCTTGTGGTTTACAATTTAGTTAGGACTTAGGATTAGTAAATTATGTTAGAATATTTTTGTCGTGGAATAGGTTATATTTACAAACTTTTACAAACTACACTATCTTTCTTCGGGAGAACACTGGTTACGCTATGTTTTCCCGGGTGAAGATAGTGTAATTTGTAAAAAAAATCAAAAAAAATTTGTAAACACATCCTTCATCTTTTTTTGTTGGTAAACATGTTATTGAGTGAGTGTTTGGATTAAATTAATTAGATAATGATTTTTACAAAACAAAAAATTAGGCCCTTTTTGAATTGTTCTCAAACATAATTTTTTGATTTAAAAAATATATATTTAATAAGACCTGTTTTGTGAAAATATTAAAAATTATAATTATTTTTTAATTTTTAGAATCAAATTTAAAGAATTAATTTATGTTTTGACTTTTAACTTTCAAAATACAGAAAATATCTATTTCATTAATTATTTTACAAAACAGTTCTAAGAACAAAAAAAAATAACACAATTAAACAAACCCTGACTCATTAGTTTATCATGTGTGGTTTGTGGGAATCTTTATTATTATGTATTTATTTTCTAATAAAAATTGTCTTGAAAGGATTAATTGTAAAATTCTGGACAATTTTTGGGTGCAAATTCTAAATTAATTTGATTATGTTAGTAGAATAACTTTTAAATGCTAACGGTATAATATATTTTATGATTTTAAAGTTAAACATGTCTTTGTTATTTTTTCTTGAAAATCCAATGGCTCCGATTCTAAATTGATTTTCAAAAGGATTAGAAGTGCCCAACTCAACATATTATTTCGTCATTTTAGGAGAGAGATAGACACAGAAAAACAGTCATGAGAGAGAGAAAGTGGATGGTTTTTTTTAATTTAAATTCAAATTTTCTGTATCTGTATCTCTCTTAAAATGACATAACTTTCTGTCATTTAAAATGATAAATACTTTTCCCTTCGTTTATAATACAAGAAACATTTTTGCATTTTTAACTCTCCTGATATTAACCATAGCATCCTATTTTCTGTTATGAACAAAATTGGGCCCATTAATTAATTTAATATTCATGACCTCACAATACCAAAATTTTCACTGGACAAAGTTTATTAGGATCTTTTATAAGATCCTTATGATTTTACGTTTATGAGCAACAAATTATGTTTGTGATATAACAATAATTATATTATCATATAACCATAATTTGATATTCCATCTATTATTGACTTAGGTGTGTGTCTTTATAAGTACACCTAGAGGTGTTCATCAACCTATACAAACCGATTCAAATCGCGGTGACTGAACCGAAAATCGAAAAAAAAGTGCAAATTTTAATTGGATTGGATTGGTTTTCGGATTGGTTGATGAAAACCGATCCAATCCAAACCGATTCAATATATTAATTCTCTTCTATTTACTTGGATCTTTCCCCAATCATAACCTAAAAAGTTCTAAACTCAAGACCCATCAACTTATCAACTAAACCCAAGAAAAAGCCTAGTCACATCTCATCAACAAAATTTCATCCTTGTAGAGAGCTTTATATCTTATTGCCAAAAAAAAAACTATATTATCATTTACTAATGCTTTTGTATTTCAAATTTTTTTTTTTTTACAAAGTCAATATACACAAAAGATGTTATTTGCACCATAATCATGAAACAAATTTTAGAATTTTCAAAAAACCAAAAACCGATCCAATCCAAACCGAAAAAAATTAGATTGGATCGGATTTGAAAAAAAATCCAAACCGAATGGATGATTATATGATCAATCCGAAGGAATTGGATCGGATGATTTTTGCTTCCAAAACTGATCCAATCCAGACCACGAACACACACCTCCCCTTTTGTCAACAGAGTATGCAACGAAACACCATCTTCAGCCACCATAGAAAAAGACCCAGAAAAACATGTATGGAACCGTTCACGTTACCACATTGAACATTTTCAATTAGTGTTATTGAAACGATGTTCTAGCCTGTAACTAATTCAAATAAATATTTAGATCGAGTGTGTTCGTGAGTCGATGTGACTCAAATCCACTCAATTTAAATTTTTAAAAAAACTGATATCTTTGTTGAATTTGATTAAATTGATCAGATCATGCATTTTTTTTATTTAAAAAAACATCAAATAACTAGGATCGTGTCACAACCAAATAACCCATTATTTACAAAAATAAAATAAAAAATAACCCATTATAACTAGAGATTATAAATAAAAGTTAAAGCCATCAAATACATATTTTTCATGTTCATTATACTCTTTAATGATCACTGTGCGCATATCTCACGATCTCACAATATTGTTTCCACAATAATCCATTACCCTTACAATATATTTTCCATATATACTTGCAAGCATACAGATTCTATATCAATATTTGCCAAGATCAAACAGGATACCCTTCAAACTCAAGACATGAGTGAAGTCATAATTCTAGTGGCAATAGAAAAAACCCTATTGAGACATCATCACACTTTGGAGAAATGTAATGACCAATTGCTGGTCCAAAACTTGGATTTGTTGCGTCCACAAAGTGGCTATGACATCTCATCCTTTAACGACATTGACTTAGATGGGTGCAACCAGGATACGACAAGCCGACAACCAGAAATTTATTTAAAAATAAATAAAATAATAGAGTTGTTACTAATTTTATTTAAATTAAAAAAAATTAAAAATTCTTCTATTTTGTTAAACTAGTATTGAAAATTTGAGGCCAAGGTTTAAAATTCATATTATATAAAGAAAAAAATGGGAATTTAATTTCACAACACTTGTGATATATCTATTTAAAAATGGTCAACTCAAATTGTATGAATTATTAATAAAAACTTTAAAATTAGTTATTTTATTATTAAAATAAAATAAAAGTGAAAACCGAGAAAACTGAAAACAAAAAAGTGAAATTTATAGAGAAAAATAAATTGCAAAAATTAAATTTTAACTTGATTGGAAAATTTTCGCTTCAACATATCCTTTTTCTTGTTAGCTTTTCTTCTTTCTTAATCTATATATTTTTTGAAAAAAGTCACCTAAAAATAAAAACGCGAATAATACTTTTAAAATTAATGCGACATGGCGAGGGGAAAAAATGCGACATGGCGTTTCCTAAACAACAAGTAACAAACCAAAATTAATTCAAAAACTCTTTATTTTATTTCTTTATATTCTTCTACCTAATCCTAATACTGTATTACATAACTTTTTTAGTATTTTTTATTTTTTTAAGAAAATCAACCAATGATTGTATTCAAACCAAATAATTTAGACCTCAATAAATCATAAGTACACCTCAAAAAACCATAAGTAGACTTTCGCCCACAACCAAAGATTAAAATTAAATTTACACATAAAACAAACCAAAAATAATAATAATAAAAATTAAAATTAAACACTAAAGGCACGCATGCCTTTTTTTAAAAAATAAAAACTTTAATACCTTTTTTTTTCTTAAAAAAAAGAGAGAATGCAAGATGCAAAAGAAATAAACCCATAGAAACAAATACTAAAGAACAAAATTCACATTTTATTAAACCACAACATGTTCACTTTTTTTTATCTTCTTTTTGTTTAAAAAAAAGCAAAAGGAGACAAGAAACTTACATTTAAAATATGACCCACAGTGATTACCAAAAAAAAAAATTTGACCCACAGTTCAAGCAATATTTTAAGGGTAATTTTTTTTTATGTCGTAGAAAAATTATTTTTCCTACTTTATATACAAGTTGTGGTAGGCTCCACCTGCATCATCCATTAAAAAACAAAATAAAATTATAGCACACAACTTGATATTTCACTAGTAGAAAAAAGAATTTTCCTACCTGAAAATTCTTTCTCCCATATTTTAGAAAATATTTATGGTACTACTGCTATACTATTCACTCAGTACATCTATCCAATAAAAAATAAGGAATGACTGTCATCTTGTATGAAAAAAAGAAAAAAATATTTTTTTTATCCAAGTGTCACTTGCTGAATGGCAGATGTACCTACTACAGATGTACAGAAGGAATAAATCTTTGGTACTACTGTTGTATTAAAGATTCAGTGCATCCCACCAATGAAAATATTACATATCAGTTAAAATTCTTTTTTTCTGTCAATTTTTTTCTCTCGTCTGATATGTAATACTTTCATAGATGAAATACACTAAATCTTGATACAGCAGTAGCACCAAAGATTTATTCTTACGATCTCCACCACAATTTCATCTTCTTATCAACAACAATAGCTTTTATTTCTTTCATGCACTCATTCAATTCTTAATCATAAATTTTTTTATCCAGTTTAAATACAACGAATGACACTCACTATCATAGACGTTATTGAAAATTCTCAATCAAAAGAGCTCTCTTTTTTTTCTTAGAATTTTACACATCATTCCTTTTAAGTCAATATAATAATAAATAGCACACTACAAAATCTTAGGATACTAGTCAAGCTCATCCCGATCTTACAAACCAACTTAAAATGCTTAAGCAAACCTAAAGGGCCTTGGATATATTACTTTACTATTGACGCTCACATAACTATTCTTGAATAACGACGGAGAAGAGAGAAACATTGAAAATAATATTGTGTATATTGATATGAAGAAGCATTTACAATATATAGACACTCTAATGGGTTAAGCCCAAACCTAATACAAAAGAAATAA